TAATGTAATATTACACTTTTGTGAGGTGAAAAATATGTTTGACATAATGATGAACTCTGCATTTGTTGATGATAACTAATTTATCTTTTTTTTCAGCATTAATTATCAGTAATAACAGAGATACAGTGGAATCCTGATAAAGTCAACTTGTTTAAAGTCAACTCTTGCTTACAGTCAACACCTCACTGCAGTCCCGTTTCTTACCTTCTTTGTTTAAGGCCATCTGCTGGTGGGATTTCTAAAATCCATATCCCTTGACTATATGTAGCAAAGATGATATATTCATGTTAGTCAGACATTAAAGAATTAATTCAAGTAATTATTTATTATTATAAGCACATGGTTAACCAAGCAAACATCCGCCATATTGGATAATTTCATCAAATTTCAAAAGCTATCTTCTCTCTTAGTTTTCGTCCGTTGGCTTTCATTTTTAGCAAGTACAAACTACAACACATATGTAATGAAGAAATAACGCCAGATTTGTAATATTATGATTAAGAAAATAATTATGGACTCTGGAAATGTGTACATAGATGAAGAGCAAAAAAATTTCAAAATTCCCAACGAAAACACTGATTGTAATTTTAATCTTAGAGTATCTTCAAAAAGGGCTCTATTTCAGTATAGGTCTCCAATGGATGTAGGCTACATTGTGTAAAATAATGAAGCTATTCAGATGAAAAATAAAAGAGAAGATGTAATTTAAAGTCGAAAAAATAAATATTTTGGAGAAAAAAAAAGAAACTATGACCCAAAATTGCAAAATATTTTTTTAAACCCATTTTTAAATGACTTTGAAATATAATTGATTGAAGCGGGCGCTCGAAACTTTGATGGAAATGGATGTAGGTTTCAAAAACGGAGAGGAAAAACTGTCTGATCAAACTGGGTAAAAATTGGGAAAATCTCACCCGCAGATGGCCGTGTTTCTGATACAGTCAACCGCTTGAGTGTTAACCTTGCTTAAAGTCAACGATTTGGGGCTTAAACCTAAGATGAATATATTTCGCCTGAGCGAGTGGTGTACACACCTCCAATTGCATATGTACTTTGTTCTTTCATTATCTCTTGTTTTGGTGACACCTTCAGAATTATACTCCCTAAAATTGAGATTACATCTTGTTTATTACCAGGTACTTTGTAATTTTGTAGCTGTCATCTTCAATTTTCAATGGCCAGTAGTACAGTGGATAAAGTCAACCTTGCTCAAAGTCAACACTTTTTTTCTGTCCGGGGTGTTGACTTTATCAGAATTCCACAGTAACTTGGGTTTTTTTTAAAATTAAAGCGCTTTTGTTATAGACATGAGTCTCAATTTTGTTTCTTTTTATTAGTAAGAAAGAGTGTGTGTGCAATATTTTCCTTGAATGATTTACTCTAATTGTGAGGCAGCGTGGTGAAATCAGGCGCTCGTCAAAATAATGAAAGTGAAAAAAACTGACATTTTTCCGCAGGTTTGGGAACTTTTATTGAATTTTTTTTTCGCGCTTAACAACTTTTAGGTCCATATAATAACACATTTCTATGTGAATTTTACTGAAAAATGTTAATTAAATGCACAAAATTTGTGATTTTTCAGTTTTAAAGGCTCTCAAGCTATTGAAGTTATCAGACTTTGGCGGCCGTTTTCTCACTAAATTTACCTCTGAAATCAGGTGACCCCACCTCCTTCAATCACAAATATTTTGACTTCTATTCAGCATAGATGAATATTGTTTTCATCAAAAGGAAGGCAAATGGACAGGCTTTAATTCTTAGATGATATCAATAACTCTGTATGCCTCAAAATCAAAACTGACGAACGCTTGATCCCACCATGTCGTGACACCTATTTTTTAATGCATATATTATTTTTGTGTATACATGTTTTTCATGAATATTATGCAATGCGCATAGAGCAATAATTGTTTTACGGATTTGTGCGAGATAAATGTCATATTATTTTTATCCTTATAAGCG